AATTAAGGCTTTCAGAAGGAAAACACAAAAGTTGTGTCTTGATGTATAGGTTTCAATTTCAAAATAAGGTAAAGAAATTACAAACTCAGTAAAAAAAAAATGCATAGAATGCATAACCTCAAGAAAATACTGAAGCCATGAGAATTGCATCACATTCAGCAAGTTTTATTCAGCAAAGACAGAATTAATAATGCATTTTCTAAATATATTTCCAGATTAATTAATGCATAAGATAAAAGTTGTCTGGTATCCTTTTGCACATATGTGACCCTGTTCCTCTGCTCTCCAAAGCAATTCAACACCTCTATGAGCACAATGTTTTCCTGCCCCAAGAGAAATTCTTCCATTTCAACTCAATTGATTCCTCTATTCCGGTTTCCAATCTCTAACTTTTTTTTTTCTTTTCAAGCAAGAAGTGCATGCATTGTCAATGACATCAAATAAAGGGCAGTCATTGGTATGGATGAGGAGGATCCTCAGAGATTGAGGCACCTTCACTGTCACAAAAGCACGAGATAGGAAGGCAAGGGAGAAACAAGAAAAAGAAGAGCCTTTAACAGTGAAAACAGATTCTTTGATATAATGTTTTTGTAGACACTTGGAGGCTGAAAAGAAGAATGGTGACTTGGTATGCAGCGGAATGTTTTATTTATTTACTTTTTTTCTGGACAGACTCATTGACAAAAACAGGAGGGGACTGACAGGCAGAGATAGCTACGGAGAGAAGTGTTGTTCATTTGCATACACAAAGCTTTTTGTTGGGAGTGTGGGCAAAGTTTTCAATCTGTTTTCTACATGTGTTGCTTTTGGTTATCTGTCAAAATTACCTTGAAGACTTGGTTAGATCATCAATGCTCAGGAAGTCAGGGAGAGAGAACACACATTTGAGATCACAAATGTGTTTTTTTGATCTCTCCTACTCATGATGAGACACTTTAAACTGTTTGTACACCATTTAACATGCATTTTTAGGACAGTGGGAAGCATCCTGTGAGAACAGGAAAAATATCCAAACTCCATGGAAGAAGGTGACCTGGATTCAAACCCCAAAACGTTCTCGTTACAAGACAACAGTGATACCAACTTCTCCACCGCACAGCCAAAAATAACTCGCATCACTTCTTCAGTCTTTAATCTTTAATTCCGCAATACAAGTATGGTTATGAAATTTTAACTCTTAACATTTTGTAATTTCATGTATTTTTTCTCATACAAGGTGAGTAAGTGATTTACTGTACGGCTCAATACGAAGACCCTTTGAAGGGGTAAAACAGAAACCTTCAATAGAGGCTTCAATAGGTTATCCACAGAAGGGGGAAAGAAAAGAAAAGGCTTCATTACTGAGCACATAAAACGTAAATGGAAAAGAGTTTGTGGAATGGCTGCCTGTGTGTGATAGAGGCATACACTCAGCTCTGATGCCTTGGGTGTTCTGGCCTGCTGCACTAAGGCCTCACACTGGACCATACAGATTGCTGCCATTATGGAAAGTGGGTCTGTGGTGGCAAATAGACCTAAGCTTTCACAAGGCAACATGCACACTAGGTGCCTCGGGCTCATTTTGTGATCTGACTGGAGACTTTGGTGTAATTTGCATGAAACTGAAGCTCTGAAAATTAATTTTAATGTAGCTAGTTCTTTTGTTTATCCCATAACAACTTAAGACTGCAGGCATTGTTTTTATTGCCATTTGTTGTGTATTCATTAGGTCCCAAGTTGGACGAGTTAAATATTTTATCATATTTAACAGCACATCCTGTGCTTTGCCACCCAAAAGCTACAGTTCTACCCATCAGTGGAAGCATGGCAGTGTGTGTTTCACTCTAACCTTACATAGGGGATCTATCCTCTGTCTAATTTGTGCAACGGTTTCAGTGGTAATACAGTGACTCACTTAAGAGTGAGTCACTGTGGACAAACAAAACACAGCCAATGCATTCTAAATGAGGGGGAGGTGGGAAACTTCTCAGGTTTAACTTAAACTTCCATTTAATGGCTAAAAGCATGTTGTCACGCTGTGAGCAAGCTGAGTCCAGGTCAGATGAGTTCAATCTCTGCCATGCAGCATTCGCAATAAAGGTCATAGACTGAGAAACGGTAACAAGGCCCCCCTTTTTTCCTTAAAATATCTTTTGCTTGGCTAGATATTCTTGCAGAACTATATTTTTCATATTCATTTCATGGAACATTTGATTTGGAAGCTCTTTCCTCTCAGGGGTTTTCAGAGTGTTTTTTTCTTCAGTGCTCCTGTGCCACTGCTCTTTTGTCATCATGAAGGTGGTTTTATAATGGCAGCCTTTGGCAGTCTGTAGCAGTATTCACGACACCATTTATTCCTGCACTTTAACTGTACTCGAATAGCTGACCAGTGCTTTTACTTGATTATCTAAGCATCATTGCTGATAATTTTGTTGCACTGTGTGAACTGAATAGAACTGGGCTCGAAAAAAAACATTTCGAAGCATGACAGCTGCTTGTCTTTTTTAGCATTTTGAATAACAATTGAAGCATCCACTTATCGACAGTTAAAAACAAAGCTTTGTTTAAAAAAACAAAAAAAAAATAGGTGTGAACCAAGAATTGTGAGCTGAAACAGATGAAACACAAGTGAATGTTGGCACTAAGCTAAATATCAGGGCTTAGCAAATATATTTTCCCCTCATCACATAGTGAGTCACTGCTATGTTTTCATTTTCAGCATATGATTGACTGGAAACATAGCTAATGAGATGATGGAGGCAAAACTCAATATTTCCCTCTTGTTTTTTTTGTTTTTCATCATAAGCTTTACTCACCACAAAACTGTATTTATTACACATTTGCTTTATCTTATTAATTCACTCAGTTTTTATCAGTAGAAATTCATTTGCTGTCATTATCTAATACAGAAATACTCTTCTAACATTGCAGCAATTAGATACATAATTTATTTTTTCATGGATAATTTTGTCTTCTCCTAAGTACAAACATTCATTCCTGCATGATAAAATCAATTCAGCGGATTGCTTTAAATGACATGTTATTATTGTTGATTGTAGTGTTTTATCCATAAATATCTGTGCAACAACAATTTTTTTTTTGTTTGTTTCCCTGTAAACAACACTGTGATGACCTTTGAGCAGTTAAATGCTGTTATGAAGTCTGCAATTATAACGACAATGTGATATAACAGAGAAAAGTTGAACTCGGGATTATACTTTCGCGAGCATTGATAGTCAAATATTAGTCACAAAACAAACCCTCCAGTATAGTAAGACATTTTACTGCTAACTATGAAAAAAGATGGTCAAGATTGACAACATTTAAGAAAACTAGATATTGCTGCAGAGCACAAAACTGATGTGTTGATTGTGGCTCCAAAAGGATGGTTGTTTATATTGTTACACACATATTTTAGCATATGTTGTTCTCTAAACAGTATTTAGACAGAACAGAAGTTCATGCACATAAAGGACATAAAATTCTACCTAACAGCCTTCTTGCATTGAAACAATATTGCTAACTACTAAGAGAAAGAGAACAATAAGAAGAAGTCATCTGCAGCTACAGGCACATTTCAAAATTTGACAAGACAAATAGTTAACATTGGTCATATGTTGTCTTTGCACACACCACTGATTCAAGCTCGTCTTTGTCAGAAATTGTGTGAACACATTCAAATCCTGCTGCTGATCTCTTTTCCCTTCAGAAACTTCATAAAAGTAAAAAAAAAAAAATAATAATCTGAAATCTTTCTGGAAATGCCTCATGTTTTGATTTTCAGCCTTTTGAAGCCAATGTCTTTAATTATTCAAATATTGAGAAAATAATTTTATACCAACACTACTGTGAAAAAAAATCTACAAACTACATGCTCTGCTCTGCTGTTTTTTTTTTTTTCTATGCTCACACTTTGCTATATGTATAATCAAATACATTTTAATTTTATGAAGGAATAAGAGTTCACCTAATGTAGTTTTCAAATGATAATTTAATTTATTATAATAAAAAATCCTTGCCACACCAAGGCGGTTCTATATGAATTACGATACTCTTCCTTTCTTATGTTATGAATTAATTATTAGCCACCTTCTTTTGAGTTCAGTTTTACTTGTTACAACCAGGCCTGATGATTGTCTGACCGGTAGGATCAAATGTACACTTCAATAGAAACTGTCTGACAAGAAAAAGTTGGTGAAAAAAACTAAAAAATACCACATATTCTGAAAAAATTCAGACATTTTAGTCTGGAATCAGTAAGAAAGCTATTTCTTAGGCTTTGGTTCTGCGGCAAACCACAAACTGAGCCATTGTCCAGAACTGGAGAAAACATGGAAGAGTAAACCTTCCCAGGAGTTACTGGCCTCCAAGACTGGTGTCCATGAGTTCGTTCCAAGGAAAAATCACTTATTTCAGTGTCATTTTATAAAGTGTTTAATGACCTCCAACATTTAGGTCCAACATAAACTACAAGTAGAACAAAGTAACTAGGGGCCAATTGCTTCTTCATTGCATTGCTTATTTTTGTTGTCAACCCTACTTGCACAGGCCAAATTCATGGGATTTTTAAATATATTCTTTTCATACATTTTTGATTGAATATATGATCTTTGTACAAGATTTATGTACTTTATATAATGCAATGCATTGAGAGATTTTAATTCATGCATTGATCCAAGCTGTCAGTTCACATGGTGCTGTGTATGTGATTTAACACGGCTTCTTAACATGGACCTCCCGCCTGACAGTCCTCAGGTTAATGGTGTGAAAACAGGGACCCTGCTTTACTCAACCTGTCAAGTGGTAATTGGCCTACAGTTTCCCTTAATAGGAGTGTGCCACAGAGACTGCAAACACTTCTTAAACTGTATACGAAATAATTGGTGAAGAGCAAATAAGAAGGGCTTGAGTAAACACGAATCATCTCTTTATATGTAACATTTTTACCGTCGACATAAAATGTTTCATTTCTTATGATCTAGGCTTATCATCCACTTTGTGCTCTTGTTTTTATATTGCAGGTTATTCATCTGTGCACATGAGAGAGACAGAGAAAGGAGAGACTTGTCAAAACCACCAAGATGAGACGGTTTAATGATGGTAGCCTCTGAGGACAAAAGCTCAAGACAAGCCGAGGCGGTGAAGTCTCCCTTTGAACATCGCCTCAAAATTGACGCAAGCATATCTCATTGAAAAGAAACTGAAAAAGGATAGCCATTTTTTATTTTATTTTTTGGTACATGGGGACAACATGCATCATCACACACCTATCGAGAAACGCAAAACAAGTAATCGTAATTATTGTGGCTCTGAAAACAGCTGAACATCCTGCTGCATCCCCAGCAGAAATCAAATCAAGGTACTGAAACGACTATAACACTAAACCCCTTTGGGTTTTTTTGGATCCATACATGACTTTAAGAAAAGCACAAATGGCCTGTAGATCAGACGGGGTGATGAGTGCCTTGTTTTGGTCTATAACTCTTATATGTTTGACTCACATTGACAGAGTAAGTGGTGACTGCTGGTTGATTGAGGGAGAAAAGGGCTTTGTGTGGCTTGCAATTTGCAGCCAAAATCAACCACCCTACGAAGCCATCCCACAGCATATCAATAACACCATTGTTGACCTTCGTCTGAATGAAAACAAAATCAAAAGCATCCATTTTTCTTCTCTCAGTCGCTTTGCCAACTTGACCTACCTGAACCTGACCAAGAATGAGATCTCGTACATAGAAGACGGAGCCTTTTCTGCTCAGTTCAACTTGCAAGTTCTCCAAATGGGCTTCAACAAGTTACGAAACCTGACAGAGGGGATTCTCCGGGGTTTAGGAAAGCTGCAGTACCTCTACCTCCAGGCGAACCTGATTGAAACTGTGATACATAATGCCTTTTGGGAATGCCCCAACATAGAAAATATCGATCTCTCCATGAACCGAATCCAGCAGTTAGATGGGTCCACGTTTACCAGCCTAAGTAAGCTCACCACTTGCGAGCTGTATACAAACCCTTTCAATTGCTCGTGTGAGTTGCTGGGGTTTGTGAAATGGCTTTCGACTTTCCCAAACCGGACAAATGAGCGGATGGTCTGTGACTCTCCTCGTGGTGTTGCAGGTTACAGCTTACTGAGCCAGAATCCTAACAACCCCACATACCGAAATGCACTTCACATGCTAACTACTGTGTGTACCGATGACTACGTGACCCCATTTATCACTGTCTCCATGGAGTCCACAACAATACCACCTGACTCAACACTTTGTGGGCTGGAAGACTGTTCCTCAGGCACAGAACCAGATGACACAACCATTGGTACAACTGAAAACGAGGTGCAGGGAACCCCTATGATGAATCTAAAGGCAGTGACAAACACAGTTGCTACCGTTACAGTTCAGTTTCCTGATCCCTTCAAGAAGCTGTACTTTCTGGTTCTTTACAACAACAACTTTTTCACAAACCTGGACAGGCTCTATAAAGTACAGGAAGACGTTGAGATTAAAAACCTTCAACCCCACTCCAACTACACAGTCTGTGTTACTTCAGAACGCAATTCTATGAAACAAAATCACACATGTCTGACATTCTCCACTGGCCCTTGGAATGGAAAAGACAGAGTTGTAAACAATGCGACTGCTACTCATTATATCATGACTATTTTGGGCTGCCTTTTTAGCATGGTGATTTTTCTGGGAATTGTGTATTATTGTTTGCGAAGGAAGCGTCAGCAAGATGAAAAGCAAAGAAAATCAGGAAGTCTTAAGAAAAATATAATGGAACTCAAGTATGGACAAGAACTAGAAGGAGGGACTATTTCTCGAATGTCACAGAAGCAGCTGGTGGCCGGAGAGAGCATGGCCCGAATGCCCTACCTGCCATCTGCAAGTGAAATGGAGCAGTATAAATTTCAAGAGATAAGTGAGACTCCAAAAATGATGAAGGGGAACTACATGGACGTCCGGAGCATGGATCATCATGAGCGCAGAGAGTGTGATATGGGAATGGCTGGCAACAGTCAGGGATCAGTGGCAGAGATTTCCACAATAGCAAAAGAAGTTGATAAAGTCAATCAGATAATCAACAACTGCATAGATGCCCTAAAATCAGAATCGACTTCTTTTCAAGGAGTTAAATCTGGAGCAGTGTCGACAGCAGAGCCCCAACTGGTGCTAATATCAGAGCACCCCCAAAGTAACCCTGGCCTTCTTTCCCCAGTGTATAAGGACAGCTACCATCACTCTCTTCAGAGGCATAGAAGCTCTGATGTCTCGCCAAAGAGGCCCAGCACTGCCACAGGCGGGCCCATGCGAAGCCCAAGGCCTTATCGCTCTGATTCCAAGTACATAGAGAAAACCTCCCCAACAGGAGAGAGCATCATTACAGTAACACCTGCCGCAGCCATCTTGAGGGCGGAGGCAGATAAGATCCGCCAGTACAGTGACCACCGGCATTCATATCCTGATGCTCAGATAGAGGAGCTGGAAGGACCCGATAGCCACAAGCTGTTGGAACCCCTCACCCACTCCCGGTCCAGAGACTTAGCCTACTCCCAGATGTCCTCTCAGTATCATAATCTAAGCTACTCATCCAGCCCTGAATACTACTGCAAACCTTCACACAGCATCTGGGAGCGATTCAGACTCCACCGCAAGCGACATAAAGATGAGGAGTACATGGCTGCTGGCCATGCGCTGCGTAAGAAAGTTCAGTTTGCAAAGGATGAGGACCTGCATGACATATTAGACTACTGGAAAGGCGTTTCAGCCCAACATAAATCATAATTCATCTAGGTGTTTTTAAAATGGACTTTCTGTTGCTAAAATGACACAAGAACACCATTTGACATTTGAATCAATGGATACTTCTCTACCATAATTAACTAATCTTTCATGTATATCACACTCTCTTTTGACTGTGAAGAAGATGAGACGAGGATTCTAAAACTTCTCTTATTATCTAAAGCATTCATCTTGGAAAAAAATATATTGCAAATTAATTATGTATATGTTACAATGGATATTAGGTTTTTTTGGGTATCGCATGGCCAAGTCCTGTGACAGTGGATTTGCTGTTGTGTAATATGAATCTACTATATGAAGAAAATGAAACTTTAAATTTTTTTGAGGAACTATTGGGACCCACACAAGCAGAACACTTTTTTTTCCTTCCTCCTTGCATATATTTAATTGAAAACTGTGTACAGATATGGGTTTCTATATTTGAAATGTTTGCTGTGTAAATGGTGAAGTATTAGTAGATGAATCAGGTTTATCAAACTGACCGCTGTCTCTTTTGAAAATATTTGTTAACGTCTAACTTTAGCCCTAGAACCGCAATCATTCCAGTACTCCTCAGAACTGCCATAGGTTTTATCCTCATTTCTAGAAGCCTTAAAAATGACAAAGATTAAATTTCAACAGATTGTATTATGATCATTTGAATAGTTTTATTAACTGGAGAAAAACTATTTCGCCAATTTGTTCTATGAAATTGCATCAGGCACACATTTTCAATCATACTTGATAAGTATTAATGGAGAACTCCCTTTGTATATATACCATCTAAAAGAAAATTCTAATATGTCTAATATCTTTTTGTGTATTTCTTAATTTAGCAAAGTAATTACATCATTAACCAAACAACAAAACAAACAAAATTAAATGAATAAATAAACAAACGGAGGAATAAAAATGCTGCGTGAAGGAAGTAATATTTTTTGATGAAAATTATATTTAGTTTAATGTTGCCCTCACATATTTACAAAGACTGACTACCATCAAAGTCCCAAAAGATATCAGTCTCCATGTTGTGTTATAGATGCAGTCAAAGTAAAAAAGAAAGAAAGAAAGAAAGAAAGAAAGAAAGAAACAAAGGAAGAAAGAAAGAAAGAAAGAAACAAAGAAAGAAAGAAAGAAAGAAAAGACACCCTCTAAACTATAATGTGACAGTGCATGTCTGATCCAGTCTTTACTAGGTGTTATATTTGTCCGAATAGCAGATTCCACAATGTTTAATAATTTATGAAACAAAGACAAAGCCAAAATAGAAATGCACTTATACAGACTGGATTTGTGGTTGGTTTTCTACCCACTTTGTGGGTTATTTGCACAGTTCTTGTTCTTTTTATGTGCAAATCACAGAAGGAAATTTGTGATGGTCCAAGGATGTACACAATGCAGTCAAGTAATCTGCAGAGTTCTCCATGAAATAGTTTTGTTCATACTTTAAATAGTGTGAACAAAACTAGAGCCAGTAGTTTATGGCTGATGGAGATTTGTCCTGGACTTTACTCACACATGGGTAATATCGCAAGAGTGTTTTATTGTCTTTTAGGCAAATATGATGAGCACTGTCTATTTGATACCGTTTATGTGGGGTAGAAATGACTTACTTTGCAGTCCTTGGTTAAAAGGTCAAATGTTTTATTATCCCATATCGTACATTTCCCATAACTGATGCAATGCTAATGAGGGACATTTTAGTAAAAGCCATAAAGTAGTAGACACTGTGGATTCAAGTCTTACTAAGAGCTGAGAATGTATAAGGAGTAAAAAATGACCTCTTTGCGGTTCTAGTGTTAAAGTAAAGTCAAAGAATTCCACCAGTTATATTTTAGTTATTTTAATTTCATTCAGTTTTTGAGCTTTTTTCATGATTCAGATGAATTCAGTTTTTAAGTTCCCTGAATCACAAAGTGCAGTATTTACCGGTTGGATCCTGAAAGACACCCTGCTGGCAAAAATGCAGTATAGACCATGCTGATGTTAACGTCTGTGTTTCTGTTCCATGAACCGCCATTTGTATCTTTTGTACCAAAGTAGAAAAAGCTAAAAATGTTTACAACTTTCCTGCCTAGTCTGGGGATCAAATTACCATACAGTAGTAGAGCAATATAATTTTAGTTATTTATTTTTATAAGCTCCTCCTTTAAAATTACAAATTGGGAAACCGTTGTATTCAGAAACAGGATTTTACTTAAAAGCCTGCAGTTAAACACTAAGACTCCAATGGAAAGGCAAGGCAGCTCTACATTGTCATTATTTAGGTAGACAGAAAGCTGCCCTGCAGGGGAGCCCAATAGATGAATGTAACAGATACATATTCTGATCTGTCTATGGCAGCTTTTTCCATGTATTTTCAAAAAAGATTTTTAAATCATGCTATTATCTCTTGTGGATTTCACTTTTACTTTTTTTTTCTTTTGCTTCAATATTTCTTCCAGCCTGCTATATTGCATAATGTGTGATCATATACATGAATGAAGATAGTTTGTTATTCAGATGGGCCTTGTTGCTTGCTGAGAAGTTTAATGTGAATTTTATCTGCTTAGGCTGTTAAATCATTTTGTATATTATGAAAGCAAAGTACCAGGCACACATCAACATGCTAAAGTATAGTTTTCGAATGTGAAACTGAATCCTCTGACTTAATGGCTGTGAATTTATAAATCGTTTTATTTTGTTGTTGTTTTTTTTTGTTTGTTTGTTTTTTTTAAGTAAATATATTATTTCAATCTTTTTATTTGTAAGATGTTTATGTATTTTATTCCAACAAGGCTCGTGATGATTCATCACATAGTTAACAACATGTAAGAAATATGTTTTCTGTCACGTAATGAATTGTTGCAATGTCGACATGTATAAAGGAGCTAAATATCTTTCTCATCATTGCTTCAAACATATTAAAATGCATTGCATAGCTACCTATTTACTCATATTTAAAAGAAAAGAAATGCAAATGCTGTCAAGGCTCTAATCCAATTTTTGCTCATTCTCTGCTACCTGGCCGTAGTGTTAACCATTCCAACCTCATGTCACCAAAGTAAAACGAATTTGATCTTTATGTCTTAACATTTTAATACATTTATTCTGACTTTTATTAGATTCCATTGTGGTTATTACCAAACAACACAAACTTTAATTGGCTAGCATATAGTAACGGACAATACAGTAACAGTAAAAAACATTGATTCCAGTTTTACTTTGCTTTCTTAAAAAGAAACAGTAACATTAAGAGTAACATCATGCAGTGACCTGAGGTCCATCCAGATAAAAAAAAATAATACACAATCTAATTAATGGATTAGTAAACAAAACAGCATGGCAGACATTTGTGTACAAGTTACATATAGTTCTCAGACATGAGTTAAGGGATTTTTCAAAAACATTATTAAGTTGATTGTTTGCATTTGTATTTCAAACCCATTTGTACATTTTCTCTGTCCATCTCATTTAAATGTGTCATGATATTATTACTTTACTCTATGATGAAACATTCATGAGCCTGACGTGAATGTCTTATGTAAGCACCTTGTTTTCTGTTAAATGGGTTGTCTGACTTAATATTTCAACCGCCTTAAATTTTTTGAGATTTAAGTAAAAGTGTAAATTGTTGTATTATTTCTAATGTTTATATTGTTGTTAAAACTTCATTTATTATTTTTATAAAAAGCATTTCCGTATGTTTCAAGAGCTGTCAGGGTTCTAGTTTATTTAGCTACTTAGAACCATGTTTTTTATATTGCATATTGTAGCACTTCTGTGTCTAATAAGAGTTCTAAGTGATGAGGAAAACATATAGAGAGTGCAACAATTATTTGAGTGCATCAAAACAAACAAGAGCACAAAGATGTGTTTTTTTTATTATTATTTTTAATTCTTAAAACTATGTTATCTGCTTTCAGACAAAGTACTGTGAAATAAAGTTAAGGGTGCACATACAGCAAAGTCAGTATCTTTATTATGATTTTAACACTTTTTAAAACTACTTTTACAATGAAAATAGCTTAGTTTTTCCAGAATGTCTGAAATTATTTGTTGAGTGTAAGTTGAATGATTTGCCAAAAAAATGGATACAGAAAAATTAATTTAGGTCTAATGTACAGCCTTCAACTTTGGCCGTTTACAGCTAAAACTAGACTGTATAAAAGGGCACATATTATTGCTTTTTCTCATTATCTGGTATAAAAATTAGACCCTGTCCTCAGTTGGAATGATCAGATTTTTTTTTTTTACTTTTTTATTCAAATTGAAATTTTCCATACACTAAGGCTACTGTACAATTAAACAGTTTAGGAAAACACAAAATATAATGTGGTCATGGCCAGCATAGTTCTGATTCACAACAGATTAAATCACATTTGTGAAACTCTGGATATATTTTAATTAATATCAGATACTTTAAGTAACAAACAGATACTTTGCAGAACTTCTACATTTGGTGAGTGCATCACTAATTGCTATGGCAACAGTTTGCTTGCATGTCCTATGGATTTCAGCACCTCCCTCACAGTGACCATGGGCCCCTCAATTGTCAGTTTATCTACACTGGTAAAAATGTTTTGGTGCGTGTGACTGAGAAAAGTGAAAATGTGACAAGGCATTGTGTTGCACATTTAAATGAATCTCAAACATATGCTTTTACTTGGGCTAATTAAAAACTTCATTTTTGAAGCCTTTCCAACAAACTGACACCATGGTGGATCTATCACAGAGCCAAATCACAGCTGAAATATGTTGTAGCGATGCCAGACTGACGGCAGAGAGAGTAGGTGATTATTTTCCATGTCCATCATTCCCTTATTTACAAATAAATACACATTTGAAAATGTTCTGGAACATATGCCAAGACATGTCATGCTATTCTAAATCACTAATGGAGAAATTCATGCTTTAACATAATTAAATCTAATTAGAAAATCACACTACAGATCAAATACTAATTTATAGCTTCCTTGGGAACTGAATCTCTCTTTTGATATATTTATTTCAAGAATGACGTTTCCCCCCCCCCCATTCACAGCAGCTGCCATTATGCTTTATACATATGGTGATATTTACACTAATGTCTTTTAGATATTGTGTTTAATATACATCAGGTTGACAGCTGTTAAAGGTGGACTAATGGAAGCTTCACCATTAGTTCGCCTCTCCTTTAGTGATGGTCACACTTGTCAAACTAATTTGGATATCAATTCTTCATCCAGCAGATGTGTCGTCATGGACACCTGGTCACAAATTTTAATATAGCGAAGGCAGAAAAGACAACAAAGTCTGAGTGATTAACTGATCTCATTTAAAACTTAAAACTTTAAATAATGACGGTTTCACCTTAGAGTAGTCTTTTTACCAGAGAACAAAATTTAGGAGCATTTTACTGGTTCCTTTCCCAGCAGTAAAAAGAGGATGAGTGCGATGCACCATTAACGGGTCTCTAACCTCTCATTTGGAGACTCCATTCCCCAGCACATACATATATGCACACTTATTAGCAATGTACAGTTGGCAAGTAAAATGTATGTTTTTTTTTGTTGTTGTTTTTGTTTTTTTGAGAGAAAACCACAGTATTCCAGAAAAAAACAGAAACTATGCAGCAAGACCTCCCAGACAACATTTGAATTGGGAATCGTTTATTTGCGAGGCAAAGCTGCAAATCACTGAAGCCCAGTCCAGCCAGTTTTAGCAAAAACTAATGAAGTTAAATCCTATAATAACCTGGCAAATGTATGGCGCTTATTTCATTCATTAAGCTTCGTTTGTCTTTTTTTTTCCCCCCTCATTAATTCTCATTCTTTTTCATTGGTCAGTGCTTTATTAATTTCCCTGATCCTTTTGTTCTTTCAAAGTTTCCTCCTAATCCATCAATCCCTTCACTTAATTCCAGCTGTCAACGCAGCCCAACCCAACTTATCAATTTCTTATGCCTGTTCTCAAAACATTTCACATCTGATCAAAGCATAAGACTAGGTTTTCTTTTCTCCTCCCTACAACAATCTAATGTTTTACTAAGTACTTCATTTGTACTTTTTATTATTATTACTCTGCGTATGGGGATTACTTGGATTGTTGGCAGCACTTGTTGGGAATTTTATGCCAATGGCCCCAAAAGAAATATTAAGGCTAAGGAAAAAGTTGAAGTGTTCAATAATCATTTTCCCCTCTGCATTTGTCTGAGTTGCAGGAAACAGCTACATTAACTTTTTCAGTGTCCTCTCTAGGTTTTCATTTAATTGTACTCGGTTGTGGAGAAATTAAACTATCTTGCTAAAACCAGGGCATAAGTTAAATTGATGTGATGCCCAGTAACAACGATAACTAATCACGCTTAGCTAGACCCCCACCCATAAAATGCAGAAATATCACAAAAAACGAAGTATTTCATCACTTTTTGAAGCTTTGTAAAAGTAAAAGATTAGGAGTC